TTCTCCTTCTCCTTCTCCTTCTCCTTCTCCTTCTCCTTTTCCTTCTTCTTCTCTTCCTCTTCCTCTTTCCCTTTTGCTTCTATTATCTTTCCAATATTCTTTTCTTTTTCTTCAAAACCATCTAGGAAAGATGATTTATTTTCACTCGATGGTATCATTGACAAAGTTTCATGCTCTCCCGGTTTTTCTCCACCTATTGCTGTCTCATTCTTCTTCATCCTTCGAGCCGCAGCATCTGCCCTCTTTATGCGCTCAAATTCTTCAATGTTAACCACTTGATCTGTCTTTCTTGTCGGGCCAAACATCTGCTGATCGGCTTGAGGAAAAAGATCAAGCGCGTCTTCTTCTTTAAGATTACTTCCAAGGTGTGCGGGTTCCTTTGTCATCAAGTTGTAACGATTGTGAAACTCCCTTCGAAATGCATCGTAAGTTGGGGTGTCTATGTTTACAAACCGGATGTCCTTCAGTTGGTTGTCACTTGATGCTTCGGCGCTGAATATCTCTGCGGCAGCAAACATCATCTCTGCGCAAACTTGTTTTGGTACGCCGTATATACCAGAACTTATTCCGGGAAGGGCAATGGAACTAGAACGGAATTCAATGAACATCATGAATAATCAAAAGTGGTCAAGATATTTTGCGGATTATACTATCAGCATTATGATTATGAGTACGAGTAAGTCCTACAAGCTTAAGGTTTCGTATTCAGTAATTTCAAATGTTTGTTCGACCATGGTGCTTTGATATAGAGGTCATTAGTGAAAATTGAACGTCAGAAAAACGGTTGAAAACTAATATTAATTGTTTGTAATTACTGATTAAGCAATGATACTAACCTACAATAACACTGTAAACTAAGTTTTTTATTGATGTCTATACATCATAACATTATCGACATGCACGTGGACAAAATTAATGCAAGATGCAAAGTAGCTGAAGTATGCCAACAGGTGCAAAGAGTACGGAACTTTCGTCCTAAACAATACTTACGAAATTTTGAATTTGCTTGCCATGAGAAAACTGTTCCTACATGCCTCGAAAAATAAAATGTCGACTACGTTCTTCACCATGAACTCTCCATTGTGGACCAACGGCATGGAAGATACGCTTGTAAGGAAGATTTCCTGGGCCAGTATGTGCAACCTGACCTACAGGAACACGTCCATATCTACTAACTAATGCATCCGATTCCTGTTGGATTTGTCGACCACCTTGCTTTACTATGGCCCCTGAAACACCCCCTCCATGATCAAGGCGCTCATTGGCTGCATTAACAATGACATCAACGTGTACTTTAGTAATATCACCTTGATGGACAGACACCACTACTCCATTGTCCAATGTTTTACTCAGAGGTAGCATGGCAGCTTGCGCATAGGCGTCAGGCATCGGCAGTTCACCATTACTTAACGCTTTATAGAGCTTTCTTCCTCTGCGTTTTCCAAATTTGCCTTGCAACTGCTGCATTACTTGTGTCACATCATTTTCTTTCCCAAATATGTGGACATTTTTGTCGTCTTTTCTTTCAATTATCACAGAAAATTGTTTCATCAGTTCTTTTGCAGTAGAGTTTATATCTTCAATGTTCTTGCCAGCGTCTAATGGAAAGTCCTTTTCTTGTAAATCTTGGAACTCTTTCTGGTAAAGTGTGATAAACTCTTCTTTACCATCTTCAAATAACTGGACATCTTTTCCATTGGGACTCAAATGTGCTTTACCTGGTTCACTCTTCCAGTTTATCTTCATTTTGAATTTTTTCTCAATTTCATTCACTTTTATTTGAAGAATTTGCATCAGCTTGGGTTCAACGTCCAAGACCAACGTCTTGAGAGCGTTTTCCT